ACTTGAACAGAGCGACCCGTGTGCAAACCGCATGTTCCACATGACGCAGGGCTCATGTCAGGGATGTGTCCTCCTTGCACACCACCGCTTCTTTCCTATATCGCCTCTTATCTTTCCTTTCCCGTTCGGCCCCCCCCCCGACTGATTAGGGGGCGAGGGGGAAGGCCATTCCCCCGACTTGTCAGGAGGCGAGGGGCTCTGAGACCAGGCGTTTTGGTGTACATATACATGTGTTTATTCCCCAAACAGTGCTTGCAGTCGGGGGTTCTGAGTTCTTTTGTCAGGATCTGGGTCTACCCGTCGGCATGGCGGCTATGTGATCGCCGTCGCCGCCTCGTCGCCGCCCGTGTTCTGGGCTTGCCCGCCAGTCTGGCGGCCATGTGGTCGCCGTCGCCGCCCCGTCGTTCTGGGCCTGCTCGTGTGTCTGGCGGCTATGTGGTCGCCGTCGCCGCACCGTCGCCATCTGGGCCTGCGTTACTTTGCATTGCTTTGCGTTACTTCGCATGGCGTTGCATCGCTTTCATTGCTTTGCGTTGCGTTGTTCTGCATTGCGTTCGCATTACTTTGCGTTGCACTGCTTTGCATTGCGCTGCATTGCTTCGAATTCACTATATGGACTGCACCACCAAGAGTGCGCCACGTTGATTGTGCCACCTGGACTGCACCGCACATATGTATACATGGTTCATGACAAGGAATCGCAGTTTGGGTTCCACGCTGGCTTACACTCCCCAATCAGAGCTTGCCTCTGAAGGGTCCTAGCGGATTCGTATGGTTAGGTGAGGTGTGCCGCCGATTTCGGCGGCGGGCCCGGGTGCCCGGGTGCCCGGGTGCCCGGGTGCCCGGGGGTGCCCGGGTGCCCGGGTGTCTGATAGCCCTACAGCCCTACAGCCCCATATCTTTATAGCCCTATAGCCCTATAGCCCCAATATAACCCTATGGCCCCATAGCCCAATAGCCCTATAGCCCTATAGCCCTATAGCCCTATAGCCTTATAGCCTTATGACACCGGAGAAAAACCCCAATCCGATTTTTGTTGGGGCTATGGGGCTGTAGGGCTATAAAACTATAAGGTTATGAGGCTATAGGGTTATAGGGCTATAGGGCTATTGGGCTATAAGGCTATGGGGCTATAAGGCTGTGGAGCTATAGGGCTATAGGGCTATAAGACTATGGGGCTATCGGGCTATAGGGGTATAGGGCTATTGGGCTATAGGGCTATGAGGCTATAGGGCTATGAGGCTATAAAACTATAGGGCTATAGGGCTATAGGGCTATCGGGCTATTGGGCTATATGCTATTGGGCTATTGGGCACCCCGGGCACCCGGGCACCCGGGCACCCGGGCCCGGCCACCGAAATCGGCCACGCACCTCACCGGCCACCCGGGCACCCGGGCACCGCCGGGCACCGCCGGGCACCGCCGGGCACCGCCGGGCACCCGGGCACCCGGGCACCCGGGCACCCGGGCCCGGCCACCGAAATCGGCCGCACCTCTCACCTAAACCTTCAATCCGCTAGGACCCCTACAGAGGCAAGCTCTGATTGGGGAATAGTCCTATAAGCTTATGGCCCCATAGCCCTATAGCCCTATAGCCCTATAGCCCTATAGCCCTATAGCCCTATAGCCCTATAACCCTATAGCCCTATAACCCTATAGCCCTATAGCCCTATAGCCTAATAGCCCTATAGCCCTATAGCCCTATATCCCTATAGCTCTGTAGCCCTATAGCCCTATAGCCCCACAGCCTTATAGCCCTATATCTCTCTGGCCCTATAGCCCCATAGCCTTATAGCCCCATGGCCATATGGCCCTATAGCCCCATATCCGTACAGCCTCAAAAGAAGTCTGATGGTTTCTCTCCAGTATCATACATGCATAGGTGTATATACACATAGAGATAGAGAGCTATAAAGAGAAAAAGATAGCGAGAGAAAAAATATAGCGAGAGAAAAATAAAGAGAAAAATATAGCGAGGAGATAGAGAGCTATAAAGAGAGAGAGAGAGAGAGCGAGAGACAGAGAACGATGACATAGGAACGCGAGACAAACAGAGACAGAGAGAGAGAGACAAACAGAGAGCGGGCGAGGAAGCTCGGCGGGCAGGAGTGGGGCACGCGGCATGACAAAGGCCAGCATACTTTGGCATGGCGTTTTGGCAGCGCCCAGCTGTTCATGTCAGGAGGGGAAGAAACACACAGACACAATTAATCGTCGATCCCCAGGAAAATATAGGAAAATATGGGAAGTGAGGGGGAAGACGAAAACCCAGAAAATATAGGAAAATATGGGGAATCTTTTTATTTGTGTGTATTTATTTGTGTGTTTGTGGGCCCCTTCATTATGGGCACATCCGCTTGTCAACGAATATGCATTTGGCCTGGCTCACATTCGTCTTTGCATAAATTCCTCGCGCTCCGCTGGCCTGAGCGCAGAATGAGACGCAGTGCTGTCGAAACGAGATGCGCAGAAGGGTGCTTTTCCCAACCCTCCTGTGTTGGGCCTCCTACCTCTTCCAGCATGTTGTCAGGTGAGACCTCGCGGCTCCCCGGGAGGCTGCCAATTGCGCAACCGCCGCAAATTTCGTGGGCTGCCGTGGAGTCCAGCGGAGGCAGGCGAGACCTCGCGGCTCCCTGGGAGGCTGCTAACTGCGCAACCGCCGCCGTTTTCGTGGGCTACTGTGGAGTCCAGCGGATGCGGTTGTCAGGCGAGACCTCGCGTCTGCCTGGGGGCTGCCATCTTCGCAGCTGTCGCGGCAGATAGGTGGTTCACAGCTGTGGCCCGGTTTGACTTTTGTGTGGGTAGTCCGGAGATTTCTCCAACAATCCACCCGTTCAAAACATGGCTCGTCTTCTCCCGCCCTTCTGCATCAGCGCAACTGGCCGAACCCGACTTTGAAGTGAATGCATGCGGCGGTGGTGTCATGTTCGGCAGTGGCTGCAATTACACAATTACCAGAGACGTACCCAACCGATTTGCAACAAGTGACCACAGCAGTGGGCCCGCTTTATGCGGTTCGTAGCATGCCAGGAGACGCAATGTGTTATGAAAGCTACATGTGGAGCTTTCACGTTCCACGATTCACACTTCTCCTCCTCCTCCTCCTCCTCCTCCTCCTCCTCTTCCTCCTCCTCCTCCTCCTCTTAGGTGAACGGTTTCTAGTCACCTCGAAGGCGTGCATCAGGGAGGGCAAAGACTGTCTTCATACGCAGGGCCTAGAGCATGCGCGCGGGCGGTGTTGCATTTCCCGAGTAAAACAGACGCAGCGGTTGAACACTTGCCCTTCTGATATAAAATGCTTTTTGGTCGTTGGGCTGGCCTGCTCAAAGGCGCTTCACTTTAATGTGATTTGTATTGATTTGCTGCATCGCACGACGCAAGGTGATTCATGCCACATTAACCGACCAAAGAGTCGCCAGATATTGTATGCAGTTGCTTGGCAGCATCAGCCATGACGATCGCGCTCGGTCAAAATACCACCTTGTTCATGCGTGGCATGGTAAATTGTATTTCTCGAACTCGGAGCAGTCTGACGCCATCTGAATTATGCAACTCTTGATGCTTCGCGTATCTCCACCAGCTATTTAGGCTGGCCCGTGCCCCGGACCCCCCTTTCGGCGACAGCTTCACGCGTCTGCCCGCGACCAAAAAAAAATATCTCCACCAGCCCATCCAGAAACGGGGCGTCTTGGGGGCTTCCTGGCGGTTTTGTGAGCCTCTTGGGACGTCTTGTATGCCGCTGGGAGCCTCTTGGGGGCCTTTTGGAGGCCGCTTATGGGCTTCTGGGGGGCCTCTCGGGAGCCTCTTGGAGCTGTCTCGGGGGCCTCAGAAGCACTCTTGGAGCCGTCTTGGAAGAGCTCGAGCAAAGAATGGGGGTGTCCTTAATTAGCCTCCCCCCTCGGAAGCCCCCCACACATAGCCTCTTGGGCCCCTCTTGGAGCGCTTTTGGGGCGCTCTTGGGGCCGTCGTGGGGCTCTCTTGGGCCTCTCTTGGGGCCCTCTTGAGTTCTCCTGGATCCATCTTGTGGCCTCGGAAGGCTATCGAACGCAAAATGCGAGAAGGCATCATTCATTGATTTTTTCTGAGGCTTCTGTAAGATTTTGGCCTCTCGTGGGCCTCCGTGGAATGCTCCGTGGCTACTTGGAGCCATCTTGGAACGGTTTTGGGGCTTCTTGGAGCATCTTGGAAACCATATTGAGCCAGCTTGGGCTATCTTGAGCCATCTTGGAGGTCATCTTGGCCTCTCTGAGGCCCTCTTGGAGCCATCTTGGGCCATCTTGGACGCTCCCACGCCTGCCCCCCCCCCCCCCCCCTCCAGGTCCAGGGGAGGGGATAGGGGGAGGGGTTTGGAAGAGACGCCGCCCTAGACCACCTACGCCCGGAGGCCTTTGGGATTCGATGGGTAGTTTTTAGTGGCTCGCCCTGCTGCTCTGATTGCAGCATGTAGGAGATGAATGGGGACAACTGCGAGTGCCACCCAGTGCTACAAGATCAGCTTGCTTTGAGTAGACGTATTGGTTCCAATGGCATGGGTAGTGAATGAGTATCTCACGGATGCTCTATGCAGTGCGTGCCACAGCACGTACGCCCGTAATCTGATGCAAACCCACGGGTTGCGATTTGTCGTTCTCCCTCTTTGGTGCTGACACAGGCGGACCTCGCTGTGATTTGAGAAGCTGGGACTGGCGGGGCTTCTCAAATCACAGCTCCAGCCATCCGGCGACGTGTTTCTTCCGTGCGCGGCCCCAGGGGTCCCGACTGGAGGGCCTCTCCGAGGGGCTTGGGCCACCCGTCCTCTCCCTCCTCCTCCTCCTCCTCCTCTTCCTCCTCCTCCTCCTCCTTCTCCTCCTCCTCCTCCTCCTCCTCCTCCTCCTCCTCCTCCTCCAAACCAGACGTGCATGACCTGGCGGGGCTCCTGCCGGGAGTGGGCTGGGAGCTGGGAGTGCACTCCTCTGGGCGCCCAGCCGGCTCCGCGCTCGCAGCATCGCGGCTCGGCGGAGGCCGTGCCGCCCGCGGAGAGCTCGCGCCCGCGGGGAGGGAGAGCCCCGGGCGGCTTCCAG